CTACATAAGGCCACCTGGCAAGACTGGGAGACATAGCAGATCTACCTAATACTTAGAAAAAAACACAGGTAGCCAAAATGAAGAAACACAGAAATACATCCCAAATGAAGGAATAGGAGAAAACTCCAGAAAAAACTAAACGAAATGGAGGCAAGCAACCTGCCAGAGGCAGAATTCAAAATACTGGTTATAAGTATGCTCAAGGAACTTAGAGCTTCAACAAAGAGACAGCAAGCATAAAAAAGGATATAGAAACCATAAAAAAGAACCAATCAGAAGTGAAGAATGCAATTACTAAAATGAGGAATGCACTAGAAGGAATCACCAGGCTCAGTGAGTCAGAGGATCAAATCAGCGATTTGAAAGATAAGGTAGTGGAAAACAGCCAATCAGAACAGCGAAAGGAAAAAAGAATTTTAAGAAATGAGGATAATATGGATGGACTTAGAAAACATTATGCTAAGTGAAGTAAGTCAGACGGAGAAAGACAAATATCGTATCTCACTTATATGTGGAATCTAAAGAGCTAAATAACTGAGCAAAGTACATAAATAGTCTCAGAGATACAGAGGAAAAATTGATGGTTGCTAGATGGGGATGAGGAAGAAGGGGAAGGAATTAGACAGCATAAATTGGTAACTACAATATTGCCACAGGGATAGGAAAGACAGTTTGAGGAATATAATCAATAATGTTGTAAGGATTTTGAAGGGTGTTAGATGGGCACTTATTAGGGAGACCGCTTTATGGATGGGGTAGATACTTGACCACTGCACTGTACACCTGAAGCTGAATAATATTATATGTCAACTATAATGTATATATAATCATGGGATATGGAATATAGCATAGGGAATAGAATCAATGGAATTGTAATAGATATATACGATGTCAGAGGGGCAATAGATTGGGGGAGGGGGTTATCACTTTGTGAGGGGTGAAATGTCTATTACATTCTTTTGTACACCTGAAACTAATAAAAAAAAGGATAGTTTAAGAGACCTCTGGGACAATATCAAGCATAACAACATTCGCATCATAGCGGTACCAGAAGGAGAAGAGAGAAAGCAAGGGATTGAGAACCTATTTGAAGAAATAGGCTCTTCAGTAGGTGACTGAAAACTTTCCTAACCTGGTGAAGGAAATAGACATACAAGTCCAGAAGCACAGAGAGTCCCAAACAGGATGAACCCAAACAGGCCCACACCAAGACACATCATAATTAAAATGGCAAAGATTAAAGGCAAAGAATCCTAAAAGCAGTAAGAGGAAGCCAGCTAGTAACTTATAAGAGAGCTCCCATAAGCTGATTTCTCAACAGAAACTGCAGGCCAGAAGGGATTGGCAGGAAATATTCAAAGTGATGAAAAGCAAGGATCTACCACCAAGACTACAGTACCCAGCAAGGCTATCATTTAAAACTGAAGGACAGATAAAGAGCTTCCAAAATAAGAAAAAGCTAAAGGAGTTCATTACCATCAAACCAGCATTACAAGGAATGTTAGAGAGACTTCTTTAAAACAAAAAAACAAACAAAGTCAAAAATGGATTAAATGTTCCAATCAAAAACATACAGTGGCTAAATGGATACGAAAACCCTTACAATATTGCTGCCTACAAGAGACTCACTTCAGATTGAAAGACACACACACAGACAGAAAGTAAAGGAATGGAAAAAGATATTTCATGAAGTTGGAAATGAAAAAAACAAAAACTGGTGTAGCCATACTTATACCAGACAAAATAGACTTTAAAACAAATGTTATATAGGGCCAGCTGGGTGGCGCAGTTGGTTAGAGTGCGTGCTCTTAACAACAAGGTTGCCGGTTCGATTCCTGTGTGGGATGGTGGGTTGCGCAACCCTGCGACTATTGGGTTGTCGGAAAAGTCATAACGCATTTTTGCAACGAAAAACAAAAAATACATCATGACTTTTCCGACAACCCAATAGATTGAAAGCAGCAACTGGACTTGGAGCTGAGCTGTGCCCTCCACAACTAAGATTGAAGCACAACAACTTGACTTGGAGCTGATGGGTCCTGGAAGAACACAACGTTCCCTTCCCCAATTCCCTAACACTGTTCCCTTCCCCAATTCCCCAATGAAATCTTAAAAAAAATAAAAAATAAAAGATGGGCAGAACACAGAGCTGTCTGCATTAAAAAAATAATAATAAATAAAAAAAAATCAAATGCTATAGCAAGAGACAAAGAAGGACCCAGTAATCCCACTTAAGGGTGTTTATCTGAAGAAACCCAAAACACTACTTTGAGGGGAACGTGTGCATCCATACGTTCATTGCAGCATTATTTACAATGGCCAAGACGTGGAGGCAGCCTGGGTGTCCATCGATGGATGAATGGATACAAAGGAGGTGGTACATATATACAGTGGAATATTGCTCAGCCAGGGAAGGGAATGGGTTCTTGCCATCTGTGAAGGCATAGTTGGACCTGGAGGGTATTGTGCTGAGTGGGGTATGTCAGACAGTGAAAGACAGATGCAATGTGATTTCACTTACATGTGGAATGTAAAGAACAAAATAAACAAAACAAACACATGGATACAGAGAACATTTTGAATGTTGCCAGATGGGAGAGGTGTTGGAAAGGTGGAAAAAGTGAAGCGATTATGAAGTACAACTTGGTAGTTACAGAATAGTCATGGGGATGTAAAGTAAAGCATAGGCAATATAGTCAATAATGTAGTAATAGCTATATATAGTGCCAGGTGGGCACTAGACTGATCAGGGGGATCACTTCTTAAGTTATACAGATGTCTAATCACTATCCTGTACACCTGAAATTAATACAAAATAATTGAATGTCAACTATAATTGAAAAATTTTAAAAGGGGGGAAAAAGATAAAGCGGAATAAGTGGTTCAGATTTCCAGATATAAAGCAAATAAGTCATGGGGATGCAGCATACAGCATAGGGACTATAGTCCATAATATTGTGATAGCATTGTACAGTGTCAGATGGGTGCTGGACTTATCATAGTGATCACTTCTTTAGGTATATAAATGTTGAATAACTATGGTGTACACCTGAAACTCATAATATTGTATGTTAGCTATATATTTTTAATAAAAATATTTTTTAAAACGTACCATTTAAAAAATAATAAAAATAAAGGATATAATTCAGGTCCTCAAGCATCTTGCAGACTAGCTAGAGGCTGTGGGGCTTGTGGGGAAGATATATAATCAACATTTATAATTTAAGGTGAGGTATATCATTCATTCTTTTATCCAACATAAGTTTATTGAATGTGTATCATTAGCCAGAGAGAGGTCTTGGCATTGGGATATAGTGAGGTGCAAGGCATAGCATTTGCTTCCTGATTAGATGGTAATTGGACATCCTGAGAGTATGGAAGGGAGGTAGGTCTCCGTTAACTGTGGATCCCATAGTAATCTCAGTTTCTTTCCCTTTAACCCCAGATTCTTATTCCCAAACTCCTGCCAAGTGGGCTTCTTATTGAGTAGGTCTGGGGTGAGAACTGGAATCTGATATTTTTTAAAAGCTCTCCTTGATAATTCTGATACAAAGTCAAGTTTGGGAATCATCATATGACTAAATAGCCCTAATGATCTCACACAGAAGGAGGAGAAATTGTTGGAAAGTAGCAGAGAAATGTTTCTTTGAATCATCTTTCCTCACCACATCTTGCTGCTGTTAGAATTTTGGTTTAGAATTCTATCATTAATGGTATTGTCTCTAACTCTCTGTAACTATAGATAAGATTCTTCTGTGCTCTTCTAGATGATTCTTTTTGTAAATTATTGAATTAGTATTCAATTGAAGTTATTTCCTGTTTTCATTTGAAATTATCTTCTTATAAAAATAATGCTACAATTAAAAAAAAAGTAGAAACTGGGGGCTATGGGTTAGATTCAGCCATCACCCTAATTTTTCCAGCTCATGGGCTCAGCTTACTCCCATAGTTGTGAAAAGAATTTGCCTGTTAAGCATCTTCACGTACAGTTTTTTAAATGGCCACAAGGTGAGGATGTGGCTCCAGGAAAATCTGTCTCAGCAGGACTTGGTCACTCATCTGTGGGTCTGCCAGTCTCTTCCCTCTCCTACTTTGTGTACCTCTGTTTTGTCTCTTGTTCCCAAAGTCGTTCATAAACAGCTTGGGTTCTGGAGTCTCACAGTCCTGGATTTGCATCTCTGTGAGCCTTGGTTCCCCCTCTGTGAAATAAGGATAAGAGGACCTGCCTCTCATGGGAAACCAGCACGCCACATGCTGCTGGTGGGAGTGTAAGTTGATGCCACCCTGTAGAGGGACCCTTGACAGCACATGCCAGAAGTGCACATGCAGGCACCCTTTGCCTCGGCTGTTCTTCTGGCTGTTCATGTGGGTGTGCTAGCATGTGTGCAGGTGATGTATGTGATGATTCATCACAGCAGTGTTTGTAATAGCAAAAGATTAGAAATAATCCAATTATCCACTAGTAAGGGAACAGTGAAATAAACTGGTGTGCAGCCTTACAGTGGAATACATTACTGGGCAGTGATAAAAAGAAAGAGGAAGCTCTGTATTGCTAAGGAATGGTCTCCAAGATATTTAAAAGGAACAAAAAGCAAGGTTCTGAACAAGCGTGTCCTATACAGTTTGTTACTTTTATGTAAAAAGAGGGAGAAGGATGAAAGAGAGATCTGTCTTTGCGTATGTACCAGGAGATGAGAGACACAATTAATAAGACTGTTCACCTGTTTTTGTGAGAGTATCTAGTAGTATATATTTTGCTTGATTTATATGAAAAATTGGCTGCTGCTTCTCTCTGTTGGACTTCTTTGTTCCTTGTAAGGTGACTTAGTACACTCATTCTGTCACCCCGCTTCCGCCCCATGAAGTGATGGAACTAGCTGACACTCATGTGCACGAGGCACCAGGCACTGTCGTACTGATCTGTGCACTAGCTTGTTTTAAGGAGGAACAGGGACAAAGCTGGAGGGATACTTGATCCGCAGTGCATTTTATATTTGAACCCTATATAAAATACTGTTTTTCTGTTTAGTTCCTGCCACATACGGCGGTTGTGAGACGTAAATGAGAGTACAAGTGAAGTGTATGCTCTTCTCTAGGGTGGCCGCTGAATTGGTCTGGAGCCTCAAGTGCCCGGTACTCAGGGCAGGACCCTCTTGGACAGGCTGTCTCAGGGTGTAGCTGTCCCCACCCAGTTGTGTTTCCTGGTGTGCGAGCTGAGCAGGGTGAGCCCATATCCACAGCCTCCTCCACCTGCTCAGGCTTTTTGCTGCCACCGGCTTGCCATTGCCTCACCGTCTGGTCTCTGAGGAAACAAGGCTATTTGTTTTTGTGTCCAGGTTTTAGCTTTGAATTTGGCCATTCCGGGTGGCTGCTGAAATCCTGGGTGCTCCTGGGTCCCATGCCTGCCCTTCCAAGCCCTCCCGGATCTGTGCTCCCAGCAGCAGCCCTTGCCAGCACACTTAAGCCAAGGGGGTCTCCCTCTGTTGTCCCGAAGTTCTTACTGGAATGGTCCTATTTCAGATCCAGCTCCGATTGTTCCTTCTTCCTCCCTGAGTGCTCACCCTGGTTCTCCCTCCCTGCCAGCTGCCTGATGTGCTTTTTTTTTCTCCTTTGGTCACCCGCTGTCCTTGGGATGGGAAGTCTCCGCCTGCTCCACAGCCTGGGGCGTGGTTTCTGTGCTTTAAGAGGGTCCTGCCTCCTCCACAGAGCAGAGTGGGCACTGGAGAAGCCCCCTGGGCTCAGCCAGGACCTGGGCGTGCCCTGACTTGCTGTTCTCCAGAGCAGAGTGGTCGGAGCCAGGCCGGAGCTGCCTGCTGACAGAGGCATTGCGACAACAGATCTGCTGCATGCCTGGCACAGGGAGGGACCAGGCCAGGGCCCTTCGCCAGTGGGGCTGGGCTGAAGAGACAGGGAAGGAAAGGTGACTTTAGTCAGGACCAAGCCTCGACTCTGATTTAGACCTGCATTGACCCTCCTGGGCACCTGCTGCTGGGGCTGGTACAGGCCGCATAAAAGCAGAGGACAAAATGCTGTGCTCCTGCATTCCCCTTGGAAGGATTCGGGCCGAGGAAAAGATGGACCTCTCTGCTCTTCTCTAGGAAGTAGCCATAATTTGTTCTTTTCTTCCTTTGGCCAAAACATGTTTTCCTTAATCGTTAAACAGCAAGATTTCCTGTACACAGGTATAGAAAATTTATCTATTTTCTCTCCCTTTCCCACTTTGTAGGGGGCTGAAGGCTTCAGGAAACCCTGGCCTAGGGACATGAAAATGGCCCTGGGAGAAGAAAAAGCAGAGGTGGAGGCATCCATGGACACAAAGGCCCCGTCCTGTGGGAGGTGGAGCTGCAGGGAACAGGAGGTGGACACCCCAGGGCCTGTGAGTGGGGAGCAGCTGCTGCGCCTGGAAGCTGAGGGAGGGCCTGCCTCCCCTGTGTGGGGCGCAGAGGGGCCACCTGCCCCTGCCTGCTGCCCCTCTGGAGCCTGCCAGCCACAGGCCAGCAACTCCAGCGGGGACTCGATAGCTGTTGCATCTCAGCAAGCTCTCGGTCGCTTGCTTCCTCCTCCTGGTGTGCGGACTGGAGATCATCTACACTCTGTGGGAAGCCAGGTAGGTACTAAGGCAAATGGGACTGTAGATTTACCTAATGCTGTCCTGGGGAGCGTGTTCCAGCATTTTGTCACCATCTTACATGCTTTCCCAGCCCCTGTACAAGGTGGAGCATTGGGGGAGCCCAGGTGTGACAATTTGTTTTATAGGTTCACCTGGAGAGTTGGGCCTTGGGCCAGCAGGGAGCTCTGTCTACAGCATCTCCTGTTCCCGAGGGGTGTGACTGGTAACCTTTTGAGGACCAGGGATGCTATGGCCTAGACATATTGCCTGTCCGGAGAGCTCTGCCAGGGAGCCATGTCCTATTTCTGACTTGGTGATCTGAAGTGAAGCTTCAGGGGGGCCCTGAGGAGACTTGGGGAATGAGGGTTCAGGGCTGTGGACTCCTGAGGGCTCTGAGACTGTATCCCCTTGGGGCCTAGGGAACCTGGCAGAGCCTTGGAGCCCCTGTGGGCAGCAGTGTCCTTGGGCAAGGAGAATTTCTTGGGCTTACCTGACTGCAGGGCAGCATTACGTAGTAGGAGTCACATGGAGCAGGGGATCCTGCCTGGCTCTGTGACCTCAGGCAAATCACCACATATTTTAGGCCCTTGGTATAATTGGGAAGGTGACATGTATGACCTGTCCCTCCCGGTTCTGACATCCTAGTATGTCCTGCTTGCCAAGGCCTTTCATGGGAATAGCTTTGATCTCTTTGGTGTCATTGTGGACTTGGCTGCAGCACGCTGTCCCTATGGAGCCCAATCCTATGAGGATCCCCTGAGTGTGACTGTGGGAAAAATAAAGTGGGCCCACCTGCCTAGGAGCCAGGTGGTGGGAGACTCAGGGTACCCGTGAGTCAGACTCAGTGATGCAGGAAGCAAGTAAGCAAACACAAATGAGCTGTTTCATGAGTGACTCTGGTGCTTATTGTGACGCCCTTTGTTTGTTGAGCTCTCACTCTGTGCTTTCCACGCATGAGCTCATTTAACCCTGTGTCCTGGGGAAGTGGTACTGTTACTATCCCTGTTTTACAGGAGTGGGAAGTGAGGCTCAAAGTCATACATCTGGAAAGTGGCAGAGGTTGGTGCCAGGTCTCTCTGGTTCCAAAGCCCATGCTCTTAACCACTGTGGTGACCAGCCTCCCTCAGGGCAAGTTTTTCATGGAGCAGATTAAAAATTCAAAGTGAAGAGGCTGAGATGAATGACTCATTTGGCCAGTGTTCACTTACCACAGGCTTGTGAGCAAAGCCGGGTGGGGCCTGCTGGGTTGGGATGTGCCTCTCGGCAGTGACAGAATGATTGCGGTTTCATCTGCCCAGGACACACTCCTCAGAGGTTGGGCAGTGTGTTCCAGCTTCAGCATGACAGAGCACTCTGAGTTCCGCTCACTCACAGGCAGGGTGTCTGTGGAGGAAGAACTTTGCAAAGGACTGAGGGCGGGGTCAGTTTGGAGAGGGAGCGAGCGGGCCTCGTGCTGGCCCTAGCAGCACTCGCTGTCTGATTCTCACATCAGGTAGCAGACTCATTTCAAGACCTCTACTGGATGTTGTCTGGGCCCCCGAAAGAAAACTGATTTGTCATCTAAGAAAGAAATCTGGTTTGCTTTTTGTCACCTGGGTGCTTTTTCTCCCCTCTTATTGCAGATGGAGACCAGGCTTTCTGCCTCAGAGGAGCTACCTCGGACTCGGACTGTTCCCAGAGCCACAGCTCTTTGCTCAGGACATGATGCTGACACTGAAGATGACCCATCCCCAGTGGAGTCGCCACGGGTGCTGGACCTCAGCCAACAGCCCCACATCTCAGCTTTCCCTTTCTCGTCAAAGTGGAGCTCTACGATGAGCCCAGGTGCCACTGCTGCTCAGTTTGCCAGCTGCAGTGTCTCTGCCTCATCCCCAGGCAGCAGTCTCCAGGGTCACCAACAGCAGGCGGAGCCTCAGAGTCCCTCCCTTGCCAACGTCTCCTCCTCCCTGGAGCTGGCCGTCCCCAAGTCAGCCCCGTCTGTGGTGGGGCCAGGGCCTCGGCTCCAGTGGTCTCCACAACCTGTGTCCTCCGGGCGTGATGCTCCTGGGCTGGGCAGGAGGCGTCTCTCCTTCCAGGCCGAGTACTGGGCCTGCGTGCTGCCAGATTCCCTGCCCCCTTCCCCCGATCGCCACTCCCCTCTCTGGAACCCAAATAAAGAGTACGAAGACCTGCTGGACTACACGTACCCACTTAGGCCCAGGCCTCTGCTCCCAAAGCCCCTTGACAGCCAAGTGTTGGCTGACCCTGTTCTGCAGGACTCGGGTGTAGATCTGGATAGCTTTTCTGTCTCTCCAGCAAGCACCCTGAAGTCACCCACTAATGTGTCCCACAGTTGCCCACCAACGGAGGCCACTGCCCTGCCGTTCTCTGGGCCCAGAGAGCCAAGCCTTAAGCAGTGGCACTCTGGAGTACCCCGTAAGCAGGGTAGTGTGGGGTTGGCATCTTGTAGCCAGCTCACGTCTACCCCCAGGGCCCCAGGCAGTAAGGACACTCCTTGGGACAGCAGAGAGCCAGCCCTGACGGGCGTGAAGGACTGGCGACCTGTGGGCAAACACTTCAAGGTGGGCTCTCCCCAATTGAGGACATGGGACAGAGGGCGGCCCTCACCCAGGCCAGAAGGAGAGAAGGGGGCCAGCCAGAGTATCCAGCGCCCTCCTTGCATAGAGCCTGGCTGGAAACCAGAAGAGGAGCTGGAAAGTGACGACGAGTATCTTGCCTTGCCTACTCGGCTGACACAGGTTTCTAGCTTGGTTTCGTATCTAGGTTCCATGCCCACCTTGATGACCCTCCCCACTGGGGCTGCTGAAGGACAGAGCTCCCTGAATGTGTCAGACAGTGACGGGCCTGCTTCCCTCCCATCGGACTCCAGCCAAAGCCAGTTTCCTTCTGGGGCTGCCCTCAGAGGATCCGGCAGCCCAGAGAGCCAGAACCACTGTTTGCTGCGCTCCTTCTTGCATGCAAGGGACTCTGCAGGGCACGGCAGTCTGGTGAGCAGCCAGGCACTGGGGGTCTCCTCTGGACCGCTGAGAACATGCTCTTCCTTGCCAGCTGTGTTGGACCGGCGGGCATTCTTGGACCCAGATGCTAAAGGGCAGCCTCCCAGGAGAGGAGAGCTGGAAGAAGAATCACTTGTGCAGTGCGTGAAGGTAAACTCGCCATTTAAGAGGCTTTACATAGAGGTGTCTCATCTCCTCTTCCCCCAGTCCACTAATAGGATAAATCTTAGTAACACTGAGCACGTTTCATGTGCCAGGCACTGCACTGAACCTTGTCCTGTTTAATCTTCATAACACTACCCGGTAAGGACTATTCTCATTTCACAGTTGGAGAAAAAGGCAGCGAGAGGTTAGGTAACCTGCTCACTCACAACTAGCAAGAGCTGGAGCCTGAGCTCTTAGCCACTACCCCAGGCTGCTTCCCAAGGCTCTTGACCTTGAGGATTAAGAGGCACTCTGCACAAGGGCCTGTGCTTGGGAAACACGGGGCTAAACAAAAGTAAGTGTGCTCAACTGTGGGACTTCTCAGAGCTTCCATTGAATAAAGTGGTATGACTGCAGAGTTAGGGGCATTAGATCATTTCCTAGACTTCCTGGCCACTGAACCCTCTTGTGGACCATCCAGGGATATCTGGAGACACAGTTAATACTACGTGGAACAGGGTTGTCAGTGTCAGGCGGATCTGAATTTGAATGATGGCACTGCTGTCTTTGGAATTTCAACTCAGTCTCTTGAGTTTGCTCGTTTCTAAAATATAGAGATTTGCCTCTTTGGGATACTGTGCGGATTAAATGAAATTAATTCACGTTGAGGACTTCGTGCAGTCCCTGACACGGGACATCCAGGAATGTGGCTGTGCACACTGGGAGAGCCCCACACCTGCCCCCTGGTGAGCACAGGGATGCGGCATCTGTATGGCAGCAGGGCAGCTGGTCAGAGGGCCGTGTATCCACGAGCCCTCCCACAGGCGGTTCCCAGCAATGCCCATGATATCCTGTGGAGGATTTTATTTGAACTGTGAAACAGGACAAGTGTTAGCATGTGCAGTGCACGCCTTTGTGATGAGAGTAAGATGGTCAAGTGCTTAGCTCACAGTCTCCCTGGGGTGAGTGGCTGGCAGGAGCCTGGGGCCCTGCTCCCGGGGCAATGTGGGAGCGGAACAGGGACACGCAGTTTTAATTCCATTTTCAGCCATACATTCAGGTTAGTCATGATTACAGTTATTTTATGTTCACATTTTCCCCGGAAGCAGTTGGATAGTTAGCAATTGGTTTCTGTGGCAGGCATGCCTCTTCTGGGCTGTTCTGTCCCTGCCCTCTCCTTCGATACCCTGTTCCCACATTCAGGGCAGGCTCTTCTCAGCTTGTCATTTTTGGTGTCACATCAGGCTTAGGGGAGACAGAACCAAGGTGGGGCTCTTCCTATTGTGCTGGTGGAGGTCTGGAGTCATGGGGTGGGGTCAGGCAGGGGAGGAGAAGGAATGCTCTGGAAAGGTACACAGTCCATCTCTGGGAATCCCCTGGATACTTTTAGCCTTTTAAAAATGTGAACAGCATGTATCTTTTGTCTACAGACATTTTGCTGTCAGCTGGAAGAGCTGATCCGTTGGCTGTATAACGTAGCAGATGTTACCGACCATTTGATTCCACCAAAGTCCAGTCTTACAGGTCTCAAGTCTTCTCTGCAGCTTTATCGGGTAATGTGTGGTCCTGGCTTCTGGCTGTTCACTCACAAGAGGGGTGGCTAAATTGCTTGATTACAAAGTAAAAGGTCAAATAACGGATGCTTAAAGCATATGTTGTCGCTTAGTTGACTGTTTTACCTGAAGTCTAATCAGAGGCCCTTTTCAAATTCTTAATACTAAAAAATTATTTCCCATGCCAGATAGAGCCTGGAGAGAATACATTATATTTATCCTCAGTCAGAAATACCTGTGGGTGATTTGCAATGTAATTTTCCAAATGTCTTGGATTGATAAGCATAGATGTATACTATTATGGAGTCACTAGGCACATACAACTATTTAAGTAAAATTAAAGATTTCGATTTCTCAGGTGCGCTAGCCACATTCCAAGTGTTCAGTCATCACACTGATCTAGTGGCTGCCACGCTGAACATTTCCATTATCACAAAACACTATTTAATAAGTATTTGTGAGCTGAAATTGTACTGACTAGAATATACACAGACCATTTTGATGGTATTTAAACAAAAATATGACTGAGTTTGCTCCTCAGTCTGGTTTTTTTTTGGGTTTTTTTTTTGGATTTTTGCCCTCTTTTTTCATTGAGTTTTTGTTATTTTAAAAATCTCTTGGGCCGGCCGAGTGGCCCAGTTGGTTAAGAGCTCGCTCAAGAGTTTGAGTTGTGAGCAACAGCGGTTTGATTCCTGGCCCAAGCTGAGCTGCCAAAAGGTGGCAGGATGGCTTAAAAAAAAAAAAACTCTTAAATTATGGTCCTAGTTAACTATAGATCAAGCGTATTTAGGGGAACGGTTTTTGCCTGCTGTGCTGGCATAATTATCCATAGATCCCCCCGCTTTCCAAAAAGTTATCTGAATTGGATGATAAATTGTACAGTTACCTTACATACAACACTAACCTTGACAGAACTACCTGTGACTTTTCAGCATGTCTGGTTGGCCAACCCTTTATATAACCTTTTCTGAAGGAGCAGGGGTTAATTGTGGTCTGTCTGAGCATGATGCTTGTCTAGAAGGGGTTTTCTGGGACAGTTTTTTGAATTTCTACCACCTTATAACCTGACTGTGTGCCTTCAACAGAAGAGGGAGTGACGTCTGACAAGTGACCTAACCAGGGGCCGCCCAGCCAGGGCTGAGCCTACTCAGAGCTCCCCCAACTCCCAGGCCGGAGGGAAGCCTTTGTTTTCCAATTTGGAGCCAACCAAAATATAAGGGAGGGGCCTGGCCTGGGTGGGCCTGCTGCCCTGCCCTGCCCTAGGGGGAATGCGGTTTCCTGCCTTGTGGAGAGAGGTCCCCTTATGAGTTCCTTGCCTAGAGTGCACTGAGGAAGGAGAGGAATGCTGAGTGTGAGGGTCATCCGTGCGCAGCCCCCTGAGTGTGTGCACAGCTGTGCAGGGCTCACCCCCAGGAGGCCCAGGGGCGGTACTGTTGTGGGAGAGGAAACTGCCCTTGTTAGACTTCCCTGGGTGGCCTTTCCAGAGTGCTTCAGCCCCGGCCCTATCAGCAGGTGCCAAATAAAACAGCTCCATTCCCTCTATTGTCCCTCAGTCGGTCCTGTGCCTGAACTTCCAGGTTAGCCAGAAGCAACCATCTTGTTTTGTGGGTGGAGCGGAGATCTGAGCTGGAAGCTACTCCTGCACATCAGTGAAGCCTAGCCTTGTCACCCACACAGCTGTGGGACCACACTGTAAACCCCTTCCCCACACAGAATGGTGTGTGGCTCATGCATTTGTATGAGCTACCTTGACCCATGCTTAGATTCTTAATATAAGCACGAGTGTGGGTGTGTATGCTTGTATTTTAACTGACTCTGTCTCATATACTTTGTCTTAACACAGTATGTTTGTGGCAGCATATAAACTACAAAGAGTACTAAAGAATAAAATAAGCATAGGTGTTAGAGCAAAGGAAAACTGAAGACAGGAATGTAGTAAATCCAAGAGTAAAGTTATAACTTCAAGATGTGAACCAGGTTCTGTGCGCTATACTAAAGGTGGTCATGGATTTGACTTTATACTTCATGGCAGCTAAAGGAACATTGGAAACATCTGTAAGGCTTGCACCTGCGAGGGGAAAACAGATGAGCTGCTTAGGAGATCCACAGCTTCCCTGAGGCCTGAGAGCAGGACACTGAGGGAGGCCGTGCGTGGAGGCGGCAGGTCCTGTGGTCAAGTTAACAGCATGTCTTGTGGCTCTTACTAGGTTCCAAAGACGGTGTGTTTTGAGAATCCCATAGCCCTGGAGTTTAAAGAGAAACCCCCATGGGGTGTGGTACAGAAGGACACCCTGACTCCAAGCTGTTCATGAGCCAGGCTTTGCCAAGGGAAACTCTTTTGTTAAACTATAAACAAGAAAAAAAAAAACCGGACTGACTATTTACCTTGGATTCAAAGAAGGTGAAGTTAAACTTTTAGAGTTCTAAAGACAGAGGGGATTTATCTTGCAGGTTCGAGGGGAATCAAGCTACCCTGGGAGGGTTCATTTTTAATAACTTTTATGAAGCGATAGTAATGAAGCTTCCTTCCTTTCTTTTCCTGATGTGCTTTAAGCAATTCAAGAAAGACATAGATGAACACCAGTCCCTGACGGAGAGTGTCTTACAGAAAGGGGAGATTCTTCTTCAGTGCCTGTTGGATAACACCCCAGGTGAGATGCCTGAGGCTTTGAATCTAGCCAGCACCTAATGCGTCTCAGCAGGTCCAGGGAGCCCTCGCGCATGCACTCAGGCAGCCCCTCACATTGTCACTGCCCCTGCAGCCACATCATGAGGTGCTTACAGGTCATGGTCAGCTGAGTAGTCAGGCGTCGAGCCTGTAAGAAGGACACTCTTCTGTTATTTTCCGGGTGGTGTCCTGGGTGGGAATACTGGTTTTAATCCAGCTTCTTGGTTTTCTGCTAGGATGTGTACATTGGGGAGCCCTCAGGGGTTCCTCTCCTTTCCCCGCGCAGGCAGGGTTTATCTGCATTGGGGGAGGTTTTGTTTTAGGGCTTGAGAGAAGTCTATTCTCTTAGGAAGAAGTGAACTTATGAGAGGGGTCAGGGTGGCAATGGTACACAAACTAAACTTGAGCCCATTTTGTAGGACGGGTTCCCAATTTGACAATGTAAAAATCAGACTTTGATTACATCTAAGTGTGTAGGGTGCAAGAGTTTACAATTGGTGTTGCCCTTGCTGAGGGAAGATATAATATGGAGGGTGAGCTAGAATACTAGCAATGAACTGATGAACCCCCAAAAGCAGTCCCTAATTTCCTGTAAGACTGAACATCCAAGTGCTGAAAGACCCCATCTGTATAGTGCCTCACATTTGGGGCAAGGTAGGGTTTTTGCTGGAAGCAAACAGCATGAGCAAAGCTGGGCAGGACCCCATGGGCTTGACAGGCAATGAGGTTGCACTTTCCTGACCAGAAGTGGTAGGCTGGTGCATTTTAGGGAGGTAGTATGGAAAAGAATTTCTCAACCCTGGCACTAACATTTTGGATTGTATAGTTCTTTGTTGTAAGGGGGGCGGGGGGGCTGTCCTGTGCATGGCAGGATGTTTAGCAGCATCCCTGGTCTTTGCCCATTAGATGCCAGTAGCACCTTCTCCCCCAGTGTGACACCCCAAAATATCTCCAGACATTGCCAAATGTCCCCTGGGAAGAAAAATCACCAGGGTTGAGAACAGAACGGGCAGAGGGGTTTCTGTGAGCCATGGAGCCACTGCAGGCTTTTCCACAGGGCAGTAAGTATCCAGTGTGACTTTCGTGAGCCCTTTGCAATCAGTGCCCTGCCTGCAGGAGGCCTGTTTTGGCTCCTCTGGTGTTCTCTTGGTTTTCACTGGGACACAAATTCAGTATGCCAAGCTCCTCTGCTACCTGCAGTTACACCAGCATTTTACTGAACAGTTTGTGCCATACACTGCTGAAGCAGTTGACACGTCAATTTTTTTTTCTCGTTTAATTACCGCCCTGTGAGATAGGTAATATGATTAATCTCACTGGAATTGTGAATTTGCCTTGGGCCACACGAGGAGTGGCAGCCTGGCTCCAGCCCCTGTGTGCTGACTCCCATGCTGTTGTCAGTGTCTGGGAGGTGCAGGGTCCTGAGCAGGAAGCAAGGAGCTCAGTACCAGGAAACTCTTCCCAGAGGCCAGACTGTAGCCTCTTGAAAGCTACAGGTTCTTTGACCATCATTTAAAAATCAATTCAGTAATACTTAGTGCTTAATCTGTAATAAGAACATCCCACTTTTACCTTCTCTTGAAAAGAGTCTAGGGGTATTTTACTTCCAAAATAAGAGGCTTTTGGGGTTCCTGTGGTTTTCAGATATGAATCCAGGCACTTTCAGATTGACACACTGCCCCTCCCTATCCTCTGCTTGGCATAGTCAGGAACTTGACTGTTTTCTGAAAACCACAAGTTCCCCTTGATATTCACTGTGTCTCTCAGGCCAGGCTAGGTGCACGACTGTTCACTCCAGAGCACACTGTCAGAGCCTGCTTTCTTTCTCAGCCAGTGTCACACACGAGTCACAGGAAGACAAATTTGTTCCCCCTCCAAAGTCCTGATTCCAGCTCCTGCCAAAGGCTTCCTCGTGGCATTTTGGCAGGTTTTCACTACATTTTAGTGCTTGAGTTGACAGTCCTGTCTCACATCCAAACTCCTGATCATACTGGATCCAATAACTGGAACCTATTGGCATTAAGCTGAACCAGGCCCCTAGATGCCTGTATCAGTTAAAAACATCTCACTGGGAGAGATTTCATTCCCATTCCGAGCTTCCCTTTTACTCAACCCCAAACATTCTAACACTAAAAAGTTCAAACAAATAAAAGTCTCCTGAATTCCACTGACAGCACACAAGGGACCTGGTGAGCACAGAGAGGAGCCCATCCCAGGTGGCGTCCCATTACAGGCAGCTGTGCTGTGCGCCCGCTGCATTCCTCTGCAGGGCCAGCCAGCTCCGGAGTTGTCAGGGCGGCACTTGGCCCCGATGACGGGGCACTGCGGTGGCTTCCCTGAGGCCAGTATCCACACAGCCACTTCCAGCCCCAGTCAGCATCCTCTGCAGATAGGCAGCTTCCCCTTTCCCTTCCGCTGCTGGCAGATGTTGCAGCTGTGGCAGGAAGCTAGGGAGAGTGTTAACAGCTGATAAAGACCCTGGAAGCTAAAGCAGCCTTTGTGTTTAACAAAGAAAATAGTTTCTCTGAGAAAAAAAACAAGCCTGCTGTGTGTGATGTACTCTGAACCTAGCCCATCCCTTCCTCAAGTGAACACTCGGCCTGTAGGAGAGAATCCTGGCCTCCCTAACCACCCTGTATTTGCCCTGCTTTCAGGTAATTTTCTTTTGAAGTCTGTTGATGCAGGACCCACAAAAGAGGGCTCACAGGAATTCCCGTGTATGTGACCAGACCACCCGTGCACATGCCCAGTGACAGCCCCCAGCCCCCAGAGGCTGATAGGACCTGGTAGCAGGACCCAGAGCCCTAGTCTTGGCGTGCCAGTTTTGTTTCGTTTAAGCCTTCTGCCCCACGAGACCTGGGTGTGCCCTGTGTCTTATCTCCAGAAGTCAGATAACATCAGTCACCACAGAACCAAGTCTGCCTTTTTGTGAATTACATAGTTCCAAAGTGGAGCCAGTGAAACTCGCAGCTTTAATCAGAAGTGAACAGAACCTCCATGTAATAGCAGTTCCTTGAAAGTCACTGTTAAAACAGTGTACATTCTGAAACTGTTGTCACTTTCCCATTTTGTATAAAATGCTATACCATTTTATGTTCTTTTGAAAATACACTTGCAAGATTTTTTTGGCCTAATTGCTTTGAACCTCATTTGTTAGTGTTAAAGGATGTCCTCGGGAGGATCTCCAAGCAGCCCAGCAAGCTGGAGAGCCACGCAGATCACCTGTATGACACCATCTTGGCCTCTCTGGACATGCTGGCTGGCTGCACCCTCATCCCTGACAGCACACCAGTGGCGCACAGGAGTGCTGATGGGACTGGGATTAGTCTGGTAAGTAGAGTAACCCAAGAGAACATCTGTCCTCAGACCCCAGTGCTGGGTTAGGGTACAGAGCTCCCCAGCTCTCACAGCTGGCTGCTGCTTAGAAGCTTGAGCCAAGAGCTGTTGAAACAAATGAGAAGCTGGAAGAAGCCCCCCCCCCCCAATACTGAACAAAGGAGATGCTGCCATTGCCAGGAAGAAGGTTGGGGGTTTTCCTGTGGTGATGAAGGCTCACTGCACTGCTCTCCGTTCCTCAGTTTCACGCCTGCTGCAGATTAGGGTGCCCCATGCTCCCATTTCTGTGGCAGTCCCTTCACCACCACACCACCCAAGGACAAACAGCAGCAAGGCTCATCTATACGTACTTTTCATGTCTGCACATCTACATTTCAGGCTCTTCCTGCCCAACTTGTTGGGTACTCCGTCTCCAAGCCACTCTAGACAGCACCAAGTGCCCAGGGACCCAGCTTCCCGATAACTGCCCGCACCTCCCTTTCCCACCAAGGGTCTCCGCAAACTTCCCATACCACGCCCTCCCCAGATGGCCTGGGGGAGACAGTTGGGGGAACATGCCTGGAAGTACAACTTTCTATTGATCCTGGCAAGTCAAACGGGGAATAGGAAAGAGGGGCTAAGACAGCAGGGGACAGGGTCGGTGTCCACTGTGGGATTGCCACTGCCCAATGTTCTTTATGATTCCACACTGGACCATACTATCTGAAACTGCCTTTCCTACAACCAAAATGTGGTGCTTAACGCATGGATTTTCTAGGTTACAATGCACTGTAGACAAAGGAAGGCAAAGGATAAAATCCAGGTATATCAAGAGCAGGAAGTTCATGTAATTGCATCAAAGAAATTTGAGTAATCGTCATTTTAGTTCTAAAATGAATGCAGGTGATGGCTGTTGTCATTTCTTCCTCTGCAGCATTCTGCCTGTAACAAATGCTTCTATTTCTCTTTCAGGCATCTTCTCAGGCAGAGATGTAATCTGTCAGCCGAAACGTGGCTGGTGGGAAACTTTCAGGAAGTCCTTGTAAGAGCCATTTAACATTGATATCAAGGGGAAAAACTTAGCTAATGTACTAGCTTTAAAATGCCTTTCTCTTCCCTGAAGTAAGGGCTGTTGAATTACTATTTTTATTTAAAATGAATCCTTCCAAAACTAAGGATTCCCTTTTGGTGCTTCTCTACAAAGAGCATGTGGCTTTGCAGTTTTTCATAAAATAATGCTAATAAGGCTTATAGGTCTTTCCTCCCCACTCCTTTCAGTTACAAAGAGCAGACAGAGCTCCTAAACTAGTCCACCTGCTGAGATCATTTAAAGAAGGCTGGTATGAGGAAGAAGATACCAAATTGGTACTCAGGCACACATGAGGACCCAAGAGGCTGAAAAAAGTGAATGGTTGGCCAGGAAGAACTTGGGTCTTTTAGTAAATGAAGCTTAGGGCTCAGGGCTCCATCTGCCTTACCTAATATCTTAAAGGAAAATGTGTCAGGGACTTGAGGAACTGCCATTGACTAATTATCCCCCTTAAGGGCACCTCTAGGATAGGGTACCTCTAGGATGACGTACCCCTCCATTCCTACTCTGCTGTGGGGGAGTGGTCCATGATCGGGGAAGGATAACTATAGAAACTAAGGCTGTCAGTAGTGAAGGGGAAAAAGGGAATTCTTTGTTGCTTAGGAGTTGACGTGTAAGTACCTTGACAGAAATAAATTTACAGATGAACCCTTTAAAGCATCAGTTCTGTAGCTTTTTAAAGCAAAATGATCAGCTATTGCTGGTAACCACAGATTCTGCGTAAACAAAAAAGCACTTTAAAAAAGTCCAACTGGGCCATTACTGAACATGAAAGCACATTTCTCCCCATGATTTTAGTATTACAGTGGGCTAAGACTTAATTAAGGATAGGGTTCTTCACACTTCAGTCTATGTGGTATGTGAGATAAGCACTTCAAGATCTATTTTCATACTCCATCCAGATTCTCACTTGAGGAGGGTGCTTAAAGAAAAAGATCTTTTAAGTTTATATATATATATAAAAAAAATGAACAAGTCATCTTGAACGCAAAGGTGATGTTGGAAGTTATTCTATAAGCAGACTTATGATATCCCCTCAGAATAAAGCATTTAATACAAAATTACTTTCTTTAAAAGAAGGTTAGGACTTTAGGTTTGGGGGCTGAGCCACAAAATCTTAACACCATCTTATCTACCTCCTCAAGTCCTATTATTAAATAAAACTTTTCTGCTTTAAAACTTCTCAGACTTTATAGTCACTGGAAAATAAGCTGTTAAATTCTCACATTTAAAGATTATAAAATTCAGTATTACAAGTGCCTATGGTATGATTTACCACCATGTTTAAGGGCATGATGAGAGTTAAACCGTGCACTGTAATTCTGCCTATATTATGATTCTCCATATTAATCTTGGTTCCATATATAGATTTTAAAAGAGAAAACAGAACACCTCCTTAGCAAATAATTATATATTTGAAACCATCTTAAAAGCCTAGAATTGGTTTAAAAGACAGATGTGTCTAAGGGCCTCTTTTTAAATTGATATATTCCCCCTTCTCTTGGATGTGGCTATAAATTGGTACATGCCTTTGCACTGAGTATGTTAACAGGATAACCCTCAGGAGTTAAACCCATTTATTTACTGGTATTTGATAGGCATGAAAATAAGTCTGTATTCGTTAGCAAAAAACATTAACCCTATAGAAACAAACTGGCCAATGTTATAGTAATTGAATGCTGAATATGCCATTCTATTCCCAATAAACCTAATAATTATAATTTACACAGAGTGTTTCAAAGTACCCTTTTTCCCAAGCAAGTACTACTTCACTTAGACATGATCTAAGATATTTTTGTTTTTATCTCCTCTGAAATAAGGTGTGACTGAAGGGTGCTTACTCTGGACCTAGCTGTGAATACCACTGAAGAATATCAACACAACTGCTAATTTTATCTTCAGCAGTGCTATAAAAAGTTGAAGACCTCCCTTAAAACTGAACGTGAAATTGTTTCAGCCTAGGAGGATGCTGCCAGCAGCATTTCCATAAGCAAACATGACCAGGTTAGATTCAAGAAGCCTGGCTGGCCAGTGTGCAGTGGTACACATTAGCCTTAAGGATAGCGGTGGCCTGTAGTGACATAAGTGTGGTGATAGAATCCCAAGTTTACCTGTAGTAAGTTTTCCTAGTTGTCCCCTTTATATTAGTAGAATTGAAGTCCACAGAGAAGTGGCAATACTAAGAGTTGTACTGGTAGTTTCAAGACCTGGGTTCTTGCTGCACTCCATGGCTAAACTCATTGGCAAATGGAGACAATGTCAATAGAAGGCTGTTTTGAAGCTTAAATGGGAAGATAAAGAAGGGTTGGTGTAAAATATGCTGCAATGACAACATGTATGTATGCTGAAGGAAATGTCAGTCCAAGGTCAAAGAAGAGGAGGTTATTGCACAGACCAGAATGGCTATCATTCTGCAAGAATTTCCCAGAGACGACACTGCTTAGGTTTAGAACAGCCTTAACTTACGTAAGCTAATTTATGGCAGTCACTTAACAGTGAAAAGATTATTAAAGTCCATAGTATTTGAAATGTGTGTACTTGAAAATGGGGGTAGGAAGGGGAATATATTTTTTCAAAACTGCATTTATTGGCATATTCATAAAAGCAAATGGTGGAGCATGCTGAAACATCTTGTGGTAAGCCCCAGTCTTGACTGCAGTAGGAAAGAACACTAGAATTTTCAAAACTAAGTATGTAAATACACTTACATCTTAAATTCATGTAATGTTGTTTGCTACCTGACCAAGAATAAGCTGACAGTTTGAACTTGCTGTATAAAACTGAAGTGCATGGCATCACATTGGCTAACATTTGCTATCGTTTAATCTACTTTATACTATACTGTATTGTAAGGCAAAAAACAAACCCTTGAAGCATTTTTTAAAATCTTCACCCATATAACTATGTGGTAAACTTGAGGAATTTTTTAGTTGCCTTATGTGAGGATGAATAGATCCAACAAGCACATCTATAACACAAAGTAAACTATGATTTTATTGTGAAATTCTCATATGGAAAATTAAATTGAATATTTCTGTCCATTGCATTTTACAATAATCTTACCACTTATTTTTGTACCATGTATTTCAATTGCCTGTTCAGTGAAAATAAAGAAACCTATAATTTTTGGCTTGCTTTTAATTTAAATTTTATCATTGAATTCAAGAACCCACCATAAAAATGTGCTGTCAACAGCCACATCCCAAGCCCCTAAGTAAAGAATGTTTTGGCAAGTACTTCAACCCCAAGGGAACAGTCTTTGATTTTTATCACCTTAAAATGCCAGTGTTAGCAAAAGATTTTTGTTTCCCACAATAAAAGCAAACCCTAGGATCTTTAAGGTCCTATTTAACAAAATTTTCACATGTGCAAAATTCCACTGAAATAAATATATTTCATTTATCATTCCCACCCAGCATTCATGTTTTCAGTTAATTTTTAGGGATATAATTTCTAAAATTAGGGCAATCAAACAGTGAATTTTTCCTGCTTTCTACTTTAATGCTTTATCTCCTCCAGCCTGTTATACAATTGTGAAGGATAAAATAGTTGCCACCTGACTCAGCATGGAAGAAACAACATTAGCACATGCATTAGTCTGATTATTTTGCCAACTAGGAAATATATGCTGCTTTCCACCTCTGCCACAGAAAAGAACTATATCAAATGTTGATCAAAGGAACCATTTTGAATGGTTTTAGAGACGGGATCAGAGATAATAGGCTAGACAGCATACATCCTAAACTCTTGTTTCCATACAATTTAATCTCCCTGAACCACTAAGCTTGGTTAAATCCCTACCCAGCACAGAAACCTCCCTGTGTCATCAATTGGATATATTATCTGGAAAGCATATTGGATGCTGCTCTAAGGTAAGTCTACAATGCCCTGGTTGCACACACAAATGGCTCTTTTAAGACTTAATGCAAGGCTCTATTTCCCTTTAACCATAAGAATTAAAACAATACTTATCACCATACGGTTTGATATTACTTCCAATAAGTACAATATTTATTAAACATATCTTCAGTTTTGTTACATAGTGTGCAACAAATTACAATATTCTGCAGCCACAAATTATATGCAGAGTATGAAGAAACTATTAATCAGATAGTGTAATCTTTCCGTTTATAACTCTACAAGGAAGAACTAGCAAATCAGATCTTACATATAACATCTCACTAAACTTTATGCATGGAAAGTGACAGACACTGGTTGTGCTGTTTGATACAAAATGGCTGAACTTCATCTTCAGAAGACTAAACCTGACATCTAAACATGCCAATATAAACATCAAAACAAAATATATTCTAACCAACCACGGGAAACAGTCTGGTATCAGGAAAGCAACAGATTACACACATTTTATAAACCAGCACACAAAGGTTTAAAACAGTTCTGAAAATGAAGTTAGCTGTCTTGAGTCAAGGGAATAAAAAAAAAGTCAGTATTGACCATTTACAATCTCTGACCTTTGTGGAGACGGTAAGAATCTGTTGTAGTGCAGCTACATACAGTACAATTCAGGCAATTTTGTTTTTCACTTGGGTTCAGATTGCAAATTCATTGCTGTGAGAAAAGGATGGAGGCAAATTTTAGCAGCAACCTCCACCTGACTGCTTGACCGGAGTGCTCTGAATTTTAACATTGGACTTCTCTGCACCACCAGCTGTTGCTCCAGGACCCATTCGCTTTTTAATCTCAGCTGCCATCGTCATGAAAGACTGTTCTACATTCGTTGCATTCTTAGCACTGGTTTCCAAAAATGGAATTCCAAGGGAATCAGCAAATTCCTGAGAATAATAGGGCATAATTAATACTGAAAAATCTTTATCACACTGCATTTCTATCTGAAATGGGCAGGAAGGAGACTAAGTTTCTCAATCCAAACAGACACTACATGAATTATCATTTCAAAGTATTCTAGTACACATATGTACTTTAAAAGCTAAGGTCGTTGTCATTCTATGACTACACCCATATATAATTCAAATCCAACACCTTTAAATTCAGTTTGAAAAATCAAACTTTAAACATACCTTTGCTGTTGTGTAGTCTACTACTTTCTTTGTGGTCAGATCACATTTGTTCCCTACCAACAACTTGTTGACGTTTTCACTGGCATAACGATCTATTTCCTGCAGCCACTGTTTAACATTATTAAAGGACTCCTAAAAAAACAGACATTTTTAAGAATAATAATATAGTTCTGGACACAACTGGTCTAATTAAGCAAGTGATAAACAGAAGTGTCTTTCTTGACCTAAGAAGAGCTAGCTACAAAATAATACCTATAGTGCTGGGAAAGAAGTGAACTCATATATTAAAATGACTATGCCTAGATGAATAAGAAATTAGAACTTGAAGGCTTGAGAATGAAAATACCGTATTTGAGAGGTAAATACAACTCAGCATCAAACTGTATCTCAAGCAAATTTGATAAATTTGAATTGACATTTGATCATTTCGGTTTATAAGCCTACTAAAAGTGTTGCTACTAGAGATGTCAAAAAGTATTATTAAATAAATGGGTCCAAAGGGAAGATGCTTTGTTTTCCAGTCATTTAGGGGAGGAAAATTTTCACTTTTAAATATTTCATGGTATGACTTTTGAGATTTTTGCAGTGAGCACCAACCATTATTTTCTCCTGTTAGTACCCAATATTTCTAGTGGCACTGAATCTAAAGTCTATATGATTCCAGTTATTTCCTAATTAGCTATGATTTCATAATTGAGGTGAGAGTTAACATTTGCTACAAGAAAGATAAATTCTAAAAGTTTATCTTCTATTCTTTGATAGGAAAAAAAAGAACCCTGAAATTTTCTAACTTTCTGATTGAGAGAACAGTTATGGCCCTTGGACCACATTCTTTTTTTTTTTAAGCTGAGCTATCCTGCTACCTGTTGGCAGCTCAATGGCTGCTCAGTTCGGGCCGGGACTCAAACCGCTGTTGCTCAGAGCTCAAGCTCTTGAGCGAGCTCTTAACCAACTGAGCCACTCGGCCGGCCCCTGGACCACATTCTTCACTCGATCCCTGCATCCCCCTCCTTCTCTCAACAGCTAATCGTCAGGTAATTCATTGCTCTCTTAAAATCTTCTAGCCTCATCCTATTTCTGAACCATATCCACTATAAGCAGAGACCTGTAATCTTGCTTTTGGCAATTTGGACAAGCCTAATTACCAGGCAAATTCTTGTTAATATTTAACACCAAGAACACACTATAAACCGAACCCACAGTTCCCTATAAACTTGTCAAAATGATCAGTTAGTTGATAATAAATACAACCAACGTCCCTTGAAAGCAAATGTAAAACTAATTACTAAAGTTTCTATTTACTTAAAGAAAATATGAAATTTTGGTTGACCAATTCATTAGGTACCCAAGTAATGGTGGGGAAAACAATAACAACGCACCTGTTTTTAAAAGGTTGCTTTAAAACAAATATTTATATGATTCATGTATTTGGGGATGATTCACTTTATTTGGGGATGGACAAAGATTTTGGCTATTTGAATAATACTGATGGCTTATACACAAAGTAAAAGAACCTGGTATTTATCAATAGTAACTTACTACTTTGTCATTGTAACACAATTTCCTCCTGGAACTTACCTGATCTGTCACATCATACACAACTATGATGCCATGGGCTCCTCTGTAATAACTGGAGGTGATTGTTCGAAATCTTTCTTGGCCAGCTGTATCCCACTATTATAAAACAATCAAGAAATCCAAACAATTCCATTAAGAGAGTTGGGGAAAAGGACAGGAGGAGCGAGAGCAATTTAGTTCACATAGTTAACGGATACATTCAAGATGTGACATGGAAACATTAGTCCTAAATTGCATGGTAATTGCCAAATACCTGAAAGTCCAGAAAAGAAGACAGAGCCAACAGTTTAGCTTGTGGTAATGCTACCACTATTATAAGCTCTTTGAGATTAGAAACGACGTCACTTTTCATATTCCCTACAGCCCTTACCACTGTGTGAGGCATTCAGTATGAATGGAGAAACAGGCTGACTTGATAAGAAAAGCTGCTGGCCTAACACCCCTTTAGCACAGTACACTCACATAGACAAAATCACTTGCTAGCTCAGTTACCATCATAGAAAGTACTGAAAGGACCTAATTCAGATAATTACCAGCAAAGACAGCACTTTAACCATCTCTGGAAAATACTGTCTTAATCCTAGGGAAGACAATGTAAGGAAGATGCTTATACAAAATTTATTTAAAGAGCAATCTGCCATATATTCAACCATTTAGGCTCAAACACCAAAAACAAATGCTTACATTACTACATTACCCTGTGATTATGAGGGGTAATGAGGATTATATACAGAAGAGAGTTCTCCCTTCTCTTCCCCACCCACTAACCCCTTTCACAAAGATAGCACAAGAAAAGAAATTGTTTCTGAATAAACGTTAACAAAGAATTTTAGCTAACTAAGCAATGGCATCCAAAGAGTAAAATTTCTGATGTCTCTCCTTGCCACTCTGAAAAGTCTCCTGACTCCATATCCTAACAGTACTTTTCCCTGTAATTGATTACCCTTTGTATATAATCCTCATTACCCTTCATAATCGCAGAGTAACTGATTTTCTCATGTTTGTCTCTCCCAATGAAATGGGATCTCCTCCTATGGGGCTATGTTTCATTTATCTCTGTAACCTCAAATCTATCTGAGTGCCTGGTGTAACATGAGCATTTCCATAAATGCTTCATCAATGAAGGAACAACCATAGAAAGACGCCTTCCATGTTATGGGACTGGATTGCACTTGCCCTGCCCTGCTGAATGTTTTGTAATCACTAAGTCTGATAAAGTCTGACACACTAGAAAAGAAAAAGCTAAAAGGATAATTAAAATATAGATCAACACACTTTGAAAGACCTAAAACGTGGAAGGATAACAACTCAAGCCAAGCAAGACGAAATGTAATGGGGTCAAAAGTAAAAATTTGCACTTACATTTAAAAAAATAGTCACAAAGTATAAGACTATTTAAAAACAAAAACCCAAAGCCATAAGATTCAAACCATTAGGTAATTTGGCTATTGAGACAGCAAATGTAGTAAATTCACATGCTTTTTTTATATCCTTGAATGGACTAATGATGACAAAAGACCATGAGCTCCTGAAGTCCAAGAGAGGGAGAAAAAAAGAAATTCAGAGTCCAAATCAAGAGAGGATTTACCTCATGTAGTCTACATTGGCTGGACTATATCTCCTATTTGATTTTAGGAATCACATTTTAATAAAAGGCACTTATAAAACACAAGAGTAATTCAAATTGTAAAAGGTTCTGAAAACATGCTTCCAGAAAGAAATAACTGACTTCAGAGGTAGAGGTTGTGATAAAAATCTAAAGGGCAGGCTAGGCTGCCAACAAAAAAGGAATTAATCTCATTCAGGCAGTTCCAAAAGGCAAAGGAATAAAAGATAGAAGTTAAAGGAAACTGGCTTCAGCTCAGTATAAAAAATTAACAATTAGAGGTTATTTATAAATGGAGCTAGGTTGAAAAACATTGAGCTTCCTTAAAATGTTCAAAGAAAGGCACCAGATAGGGAAAAGAAATTCCTACTGAAGATGAAAGGAAGACTGAGGGACCTATTAAGATCCGTTCCAGCCATAGGAAAGTGGCAATATATGAATGTGTCATGAATACACACTCAAATCTTAAGAGACCAATGATCACACATAACTATCATTTCATATCAGTAGAGGCTGGGTACATCTTTCTGAAATATCCTTTATGGTGCTAAGTATAAAGTGCTATGTATAATGGGAAAGAAATCAATATGGAAGGTAATCTGTTCAATGGTTTGAAGTATTTCAAGCTAGCTATGATAACTATTGGGTTGTCAGAAAAGTCGTAACGTATTTTTTCTGTTTTTTGTTGCAAAAACGCATCATGACTTTTCCGACAACCCAATATATCCTAACAAGTCCTAATGTGGAGTAATCACGTGTGTTCACTTGCATCACAATCCACAATTCTTTTGTAATGTACCTTTCTTTTCCTCATGAGTCATATAAGGGAGCAACTAAAAAAATTTACCTATCAAATATCCATTCATCTGGGTATATTATCCATAATATTTGTATACAATAGCCCCCACCTTATCCACGGTTTCACTTTCTGTAGTTTCAGTTACCCGCAGACAACAGTGGTCTAAAAATACTAAATGGAAAATCCCAGAAAGAATTCCTAAGTTTTAAATTGCATGCCATTCTGAGTAGTGTGAGAAGATCTCATGCTGTCACACTCCGTCCCGCCCCACATGAGTCATTCCCTTTGCCCAGCATATCCACCTCACTTCATCTTATCACACAGGCACTATATCATCTCACACTGCCACAGGGTGAGTATAGTACAGTAAGGAATTTTGAGAGAGACGACATTCACATAATTTTTATTATGATATATTGTTGTAACTATTTCATTGTTGTTAATCTCTTCCTGTACCTTATCTATAAACTCTATCACATGTATATACACTGTATTTCCCCATGTATAAGACGTACCCTTTTTCGAAAAATTTGGGGTCTAAAAACTGCGTGCGTCATTTTTTTTTAAAGATTTTTTTTTTAAATGGGGAATTGGGGGAAGGGGAACAGACAAGTTGCTGTCCTGTTGTTCTTCAGTCTAGTTGTGGAGGACGTTGCTTCACTGGCCCAAGTTGGCACCATCATTGCGCTCTTCCCGGGCGAGGCAGATCAGTCGCCGGCTTCTGGACAGCCGCTCACACTGGCTGCTGGCCACTCACGCTGGCTGCTGGCCCATGGCAATCCACTGCCACAAAGGCTGCAGCCTACGCCTTTGCCAGCGACTCAAGGCACCCAGCTCCAGGTTGAGCTGTTGTTCAGCATCTTAGCTGTAGAGGGCAGTGTCACCGGCCCTCACATGTGGGATCCGAAACGGGGCCCTCTGGCGTCCCAAGCCAGCTCTTAACCAATGCGCCACTCAGCCGGCCCTGGGTGCATATTATACAGTGGCTGTATGAGCACAAAAACAAGCGTGAAAAAAGCGGGAAATGCAAGTAAAAAAAACCCTACAACCACTGTATAAGATACACCCAGTTTTTAGACCCCAAATTTTTCAAAAAAGGGTGCGTCTTATACACGGGGAAATACGGTAGGTATAGGAAAAAACACAGTATATATAGGGTTCGGTACTAGCTGTGGTTTCATTAATCCCCTGGGGGTCCTGGAACCTATCCCCCATGGATAAGGGGGGACTACTGTACTGCCCAAAGTTTACAAAGGGCTTTCATATACATTATCATATACACATACACAGAGCTGCTAGATTTGGTTCTCACAACTACCTTATGATTCAGTAAATCAAGTATTACCACACTCATTTTATAGATAAGAAACTGAGTCTCAGGAAAAAGGCTGAAAAGTAAGTTAAACCCATGACTCTCTAATTAATAAATGTCAGAATGAAGACAATAAATCCAAGTTTTCTGACTCCAAATCTGAACTCTCAGTTCAGTGTATTATCCGTTTTATGAAAACAACAGTCACTGGTTTTCTATGTTACCTCATACTTTTAGTCAGCTCTAAGATACCCAGAGATGAATATTTTTAAAGACCATAGATATGTCCACAGTGGTTGTCTCAGATCCATATTAAAGCAATAACAATTGAACTACTATACTACAATTGCCTGTTTTTAACTTGGGGTTGGAGTTGTAAGGATGGATAAGGGGCTAGGATGGCACAGGGACACAAAATATTGAAGACAGAGAGCGTGGGTCACTTGGTTCTGCTAGTACTAGTAACTGTAGGCAAGTCATTAAATCTCTCAGCATCCATTTTCTGAGCTGTAAAATATGTTAGAAAAGCAAAGTTCCTTCCCAATAAAATTCTGTTTCTAAGAGTTGGTACGTACTATCTAATAAATGTAACAGAACTAAATAAATACAGTTGACCATTAAACAACACAGAGGTTGAGGTGGCCACAATCGGAGCAGTAAAAATTTACATATAACTAAAGTCTGCCCTCAACATATGCGTATTCCCAACTACCAGCTGACCCTTAGACAATGCAGATTTGAACTGCGCGAGTCAATTAAACATCACGGTCAATTGAAAAAAATCCATGTATCAGCGGATCCGTGCAGTTAAATGAACTCTTCCACTAAGCCACATATAAAGAACCTCCCCCAGATTTCTTTTCATATTTTACAGTAGTCCGAGCACAGTAAAACACAAACAAAATGCTCAATATACTTTCACTACCAGACGAGGTAAACGTCAACATAGACCCCACTGATAAAAGTGCAATAAAAAGAACTAGGACTAAGTTTGACTTAAAACATGTAATTTCTCTGCTTTATGAACAGAAAATTCAATAAGTACTCTTAGAGAAATCATTTTTAATCTAAACAATTCTTATTTTACCACTCTACCATAAATGCATGATTCTTAAAGATACTTTAAATTTAATTTTGTTAACATATTAAAAAACAAAAAATACATTCTAAATGTATCAAAATAATTTCAAAAAAACTTCTAAAGATCACTTACTATTTGAAGCTTGATTGTTTTTCCATCTAACTCTATAGTTCTTATTTTGAAATCCACACCAATTGTGCTGATGTAGCTTTCTGTATACGTATCATCCTGAAGGGAAAAGAAAGTTAATGATTAAAATTAATGCTCAATAGAGTACATAATGTTAACTTTTATCTACAAAGCTGATAAAGTTTATAAGGCATAACATGTTGAGAACAACCACTCCATCCTGCTCCAGTGCTCAGTTTGTGTTCTGATTACAAAGCACTATCTAACAGTAGTTTCTTCTTAAGATTTTTTTTCAATAGCTATTCTTTAATTTTTCCAAATATCTCTTGGAAAATTCTTTACATACATTATATAGAAAAAGGCTTTATATTTTCAATGATTATGAGTGATTTTCCTAATTGATAATCAGTGCAACTCTTGCTCCTCCCCTCATCCATTTTATTCACCACGAAGCCATGATCATGTCACTCTCCTGGATTTTTTTAGAAGTCAATTTTAATTCCTAGTTATGGCTTTGAAAAATTCACGTAATACAAAATTTACCCTTTTAGAAAGTGTACAACTCAGTGATTTTTAGTATATTCACATGGCTGTGCGACCATCATCACTATTTAACTACAGAAAATTTTCATCACCCAGTGATGAAACCCTGTACACAGTAACAGTCACTCTCCATTTCCTCCTCTTTCCCTAGACCCTGGAAACTACTAATCTGCTTTATGTCTCTATGGGTTTGCCTATTCTGTACATTTCATATGAATATGTGGCCTTTTGTGTCTGGCTTCTTCAACTCAGCATCAAGTTTTCAAGGTTCATCTGTGTTATAATATGCATCAGTACTTCATTCCTTTTTATGGCTGTGGATATATCATTTTGTTTATCCATTCATCAGTTGATGGGCATCTGGGTTGTTTCTACTTTTTGGCTAGTATGAATAATGCTGCTGTGACAATCTGTGTACAAGTTTTTATATAACAATGTTTAACCCAATGTTAAACTTTATAAAATTACACCTGTTTTTCTCAAATATCTGTTATGACATTTTACTAGAATGGAAACAAAACTCTTTTTTCTTTAAGTGAAAATGTTTGTGAAAAGATATGTGAATGGAGATCAGGCTATCACCACCTAAACCCACTGAACAATCTTAGCAAGCACAGAGCACCACCTAGGAAGTATTCTGCCAACAAAAATGGCCCTAAATCTAATCAAACCTAAATCTATTAAGAACTTTCTTTGATGATGGAAAGGTTCTATAAGTTGAGCCAGTCAATGCAGGAGCCACTAGCCCCAAGTGGCTAGTGAGAACAAGGAACTGCATTTTTAATTTTCTTTAACTTTAATTAGTTTAAATGTATATACGTAGCTGCATGGAGCTAGTAGCTACCATAAGGAAATCACAGCTTGGGCCTTACTTCCAATTACAGCAACACAAGGGATCTGAACAAGGTTAAAGACACCACAAGGAAGCAAAGTGACAAATCTAAACTGTTATACCATCTGTAGGAAAACTGCCCCGGTTCCTGCAAAGGAGTAAATGACATGAAAAATACATAAACAAAAAAGGAAGAGGTTAGACACACTCTAGATTAAGAGACGAAGCAGCAAAACAACCAAATGAAATGTGTGGACCATGTTTGAACCTTAATTCAAACCAACTGTAATACTAACGCTTCTGAGACAATCAGGGAAATTTATTTTTTAAATCGACAATGGCAATGTTATTTTATATGAAAATGTCCAGTTTTTAGAAATGCATACTGAAGTATACAGGGGGAAAATGACATATTTGAAATCTGTATTACAACTCTCCAATAAAGAGGAGAAAAAAGCATTAATAGAAGCCGGTGTGGGCAAGTCTTGATAATGCTGAATCTGATGCATATATGGGATTGGGGAAAAAAAAAAACATCTCTAAAGAAAATTGTGAAATGTGGTCAGAGGGAGTTCCAAGTGGCTAGAGGTATATAACTATGTTGACTTCTCTTCCTCACATGTTCACACTTAGGCACATGTAGAATCAGTGGGTAAAAGGATATTATGTATTTAAAGAACTGAATGCAATCTGACAAACTGCTCATCATCACTAGACACTCATTTTGAAATTTTTTATTTTTAATTGCATGTCTAGTAAGTATGAGGTAACATAGAAAGTGGATACAGAACAAAACGAACGCAATAAATACTCAATTTAGCACTTCTACATACCAGGTGTTTTGTTAGAAATACTTATAAATGCTTTGTTAGAATTCTTATAAATCCCTAAATGATCCTTACTTGCATGTCTCTGAGCCACTGAACATGCTATCTCTTCCTTCTGTCCAAATTCTCAGTATCTCTTTCTGTACACCCTTACTCCCCTGTTTCTGGGTTATATAGCAATTTTTATTCACACTTCAATTTGAGCCCAGGCAAAACTGATTGTCCAAACATTCTCCAATTCCTCAGCCAATAGTTAAGAGATCCTTCCCTCTGTGCTCCCATAGCTTATTATGCATTTCTTTATTATACCTTTTGTAGCTCATCTCTATTTTGAGGATCCAGAAATCAGTATTTTTTTAAATGCTTTCCAGGTGATGATACTGTGTAAGTAGTACTGAAACCCTGTGACTGAGATCAACAGGCATCCCAGAGAGGATTTTCCTGGAAGCACAAGCACCTCAGGCTATATAGCCATTTTCATCAAGAGATGCCACCATATTCTTCCCACCTACCTATAATTGCTGATTTAATACTAGGAATTATTTTTAATGTTTGCCAATTTAATAAAAATTAAGTAAAATCTAATTTTAAGCCTTTAATTACAAATAAAGTTGAATGTTTTTTCATATTTATTGGCAATTTGTATTTCTTCTTTTGTGAACTGCTTGCTCACGTATTTGCCCATAATTTCTATTAGGACAAATATCCTTTTCTTATTAATGTGTAGGTGTGCTGTATATATTGAGAATATCATCTTTTCCTCATCTATATTTTTTTGCTATTTATTTTCTAACATTTTTATGTGCTTGATGTTAATTTTAATGCCATCAAATTTAACAATCTTTTTTTCCCCTAATTTTTTGTTAGAAAATACTTTCACACAAGATTAAAGAATTGTTTCATTTTGGTACTTCCATGCTTTCCTTTTTAAAAACTATGATATATAATAAAATCATATATATATTTTTTAATGACATTAATATCATCATCTAATCAGAAAAGTCATATTAAGTATCTGAATGCTGTCAAGCTCACAGTGGTGAATTACAAGTTTTCTAAAATTCTAATTTTCCCTTGCAAGCTTGAATTTTACTACAGGCAGCAAGTGCTATCCAATATTTTCCTTGAAATGAGTCTCAGTTCATTGAGAAACTGTCTGCCCAATACCCAATCTACATAACTAGAGATTATCTGTCAGTTGTTCTTTTAAATGAAAAAAAAATTTTTGCTTTTCTTTTCCTCGAGACAACCAACGCACTCTAAGAAGCAGTAAAACTGCTTTAGGCATACTCATTTCTTCAAACGTAACACTTAAAAATGAATCCTCAAGGATTAAGATTTTTAAAGCTTACTCATTTTTACTGTTTCATCAGACCCTCTGAAATGGAAACGGTTTCCCCTGCTGTGGGTAACCAGAGCTAAGACTGTGACTGTGAGCACAGTGTGGGCTCTGCACTGCCTGAGGCACCTGCACTTTTACCCCACCATTTGCTTCTGCATTGTCAGAGCAAATGTCAACACAGAGAAACAGGCAAGTGTCTTTTGCTTTAATATTAAGTAATTATTTACTTAGTAAATACTAATGGCTTAGTGTTATTGGGATAATAGTTTTGATTTCATGGACACCCTGAGAGGGTCTTGATAATCCCCAGGGGTTTTTAATCCATACTCTGAGAACCAATGAAATAGTGAGAAGAAAAACATACTAAATTTGAAAGCAGTTGATAAAACACTATGAAGGAGACTGTGCATTCTATTCTGTTCTATTCATTTGTTTGTAAATTTCAGCATATATTGGGTTGTTGGAAAAGTCATGAAGTATTTTTTCTATCTTTTTTGTTGCAAAAATGCATCCCAACAGAACACTATGCGCCACTGTCAAAAAAGTTTGTACCAGGCCCTGCTTTTTCTTTTTATTCTACTATTAAAACTTTTACTTGAAGATTCATTTTCCATCAAGTCACTTTCAACACAGGCCAACTATTTTCCCTTCACCTCACTATCTATGTTGGAATGAAACACTGTTGGACTTCTACAAAAACTATTACTTTGACTTTATAACCACAATTTGCTGAATTTAAGAGTAACAGCATTTCTTTTATTTAGGACTCCAAGATATCACTGGGATATATACTTGGAGGCTTTAAATATATAAATTCTAGAAAAATTAACTTATTCTGAATAAAATTGTTTAATCTTTCATCTACCTAGAAAACATACACAGCATTAATTTCTTTAAAGGCATTTCAATTTCAACTTACTGCAAACCTAAGAAGGAGGCAAGACTTTCCAACTCCAGAGTCTCCAATCAGAAGTAATTTGAATAAATAATCACTGCAAAAAGAAAAAGAAAGTCACATTAATAAAAATCATATTGCACTGTAAGTTCTGCAAAAACAAAAATATAGCAAGAATAATAAAAAGCTCACTGAGGAAGACTATATAGCTCCTGAAAAGCCCTTAATAGAAGCCAAAATTGCAACCAACAGCAGAAGCCCTTTTGATGAATCACTGAACAGGGCAGAATCATGTAAAAGATACACAATGCCACCCATGATCTCTGAGATCAGTGAACTTCCACTTCCAGGGAAAGACTAAAAGGAAACGTAAGTGATGCGTATTCTTGGAGAGCCCAAGAAAATATGCGCGATAAATCCCACTTCCTCTGCAGTATTAGAATATAAGGAATTAACTTTCCATTGTTCTTGCCAATGAAACATAAACCTTTCCTTCAAATTCCAAGATCAAATTGTTATTTCATAGCAATCCTCCAATGAAGGGGCTTTTATGATTCTTTCCTAGAATCTACCTGAAAATTCTCCCTTTAAAAAAAGAATCATTTAACTTCTGAAAGCCTGCATTATAAATATTTTAAACTGAAGATATGGTCAAATCAAAGGCTGTTTCTCCAAACGCACAACTTTACCAACATTCTATGCTTGTATTAAAGCATTCTTCAGAAAACACTGCAAGTTAGGCTCTGTTTATGAACACTGACCGTTGCCAGGCCTGACTCAAAGACCATCCCCCAGGCATTCCTTCATGGAACAAGATTCCTTCATGGACCTGAAGACAACAGACTTTGCCTATGGTCTCCAAAGGAATCCCTCACAGATTCTTCCTAACTCTGACCAGTTCTATATGTTCTTTTAAGCAATCGCAAAAAGATAAAAATTTCCATAATTTATAGGGTTATTTCTAAGATAGATATGAGTTTCAATTTTGTTCTTTGTAACTTAGTTTTTTAAAAAAAAACTACCCACTTAAGGTGTAACCCAAATATCATTCACAAATTTAGATTATAATTATATTTACATGTAAGCAAGATGTAAAACTTTTAGCAGTGATCATTGGTGTGAATATTCAATTGTTACATAGGTTTACAGTGATGTGTATTACTTAAAATATATCTTTTTGTTTGGGCCGGCTGGGTGGCTCTGTTGGTTATAGCGCGAGCTCTGAGCAACAGGGCCGCCAGTTTGATTCCCACATGGGCCAGTGAGCTGCGCCTGAGCTGAGCTGCTGCTGAGCTGCCAATGGGTGGCCAGATGGCTCAGCTGGTGAGCGCGCATGCTCTTAACAACAAGGTTGCCAGCTGGACTCCCGCATGGGATGGTGGGCTGTCCCCCCCACCCCCACCCCTAGAATGAAAGCAGTGACTGGACTTGGAGCTGAGCTTGCGCCCTCCACAACTAAGATCGAAGGACAACTTGACTTGGAGCTCATGGGTCCTGGAAAAACACAATGTTCCCCCTCCCCAATTCCTCAATAAAATCTTAAAAAAAAAAAACTATACACACACACACACACACACACACACACAAGACTTACAACACGGGTTTAAAGAGCTTGAGTCCATTTATACACAGATGTTTAAAATACACGTTGTCTAAGGGTTAACAGTATTTTCAATCTGCAGTTGGGAATCCATGTATGTGTAGGACCAACTTAAGTTATACACAGATTTTAGACTGTGCTGGGCCATGGGTGCCCTTAACCTCAGCATTTTTCAAGGGTCAACTATTTATTCTCTTCCAACCCATCAACTTGACTAACATGACAAAAGACATGGAGAATGGCAAACGAAGTCTAACTCACAAACTTCTTCCCTTTATAGAATACACACACTAGGGTGTTACTTGTGTGTTACTTGCATTGGGACAGTTTAAATTACCTACTACTATAGTAGCTTACATCTAAACTATTAATATACTGAATGTGCAAGAGAATTCAGAGATTTGAGATTACTTAAAGATATTTATTTAACTATAATTACAGAACAAAACAGTAAAAATGTTGATAGACAATGTGTACACCTAAAATTAGAGCAAGAGGTCAGAATTTTGGTACAGAGAGTCAAGAGTAACACAGCAAATAATAAGACTTTAAATACATTTTTCCTTTGGACCTCAAGAATTTGGATTAGGTTTTCAGTCTACAATATAATTTTGACTTAAGTGAAAAATGCTAGTTCAGAAATCTGTAGTTACAACTGTAATCACCATTTTCCTATATTAGATTATTCTAGTAAATCCTATCCACTGTTTCCAAATCAGAGCTTCCTCTAGTCTTTTTCATGTCTAATTTACTATAACACTTCATACTTTCTCCCCCTAAGTAGTCTGGAGTCTATTTTCCCCTAATCTTATGTTCGACATACCTATCTGCTGAGTGTGAGGGTAAACTGACTTACTCATCTGTGTATCCAAAATCTAGCATTGTGCCTTTTACAAAGCATGTGCTAAGAGTTCAGAGGGCATTTTAATTTAATTTTTTTAATCAGCCTCTTTCATTGTGAGATATAGCTAATAACTATGACCATCCTTGATTAACACTCCAGGCAAAATACTAGGGGGAAAAAATGGATGGGAACATGCACACAGGACACAGGAGAAGCCAACTGGAAATTTTTCCCAATGGCAGAGACAGAACAATTTGAACCATAAAGTAAACAACCATGTATTGGATTATAACCCAGAGTGAAATAAATATCCATGAGTCTCCTGGTATAAATGATTAAATAAGTGGGAAAGAATAGACAAATCTTCCTTACATGAGGATTCCAAATAATATTAATACATGTAGAAGGAATAAGAGAAATAGAAAATCACCAGTAGATCACCACAATAATAACTGCTGCAGGCAAGATCCACCAATGAATGTTCAACTTAGTGGGTAAAACTTTAAGGAGAAACAATACTTGCACGGCTTCAAAGCATGTCCTCCAAAATATTTATTTATCACTGTGCTGGTTTTAACATGCTCACAAATTCTTTAAATTCTCCTTCCTCTAGGATAGCGGTTCTCAACCTGTGGGTCACGACCCCTTTGGGAGTTGAACAACCCTTTCACAGGTGTCGCCTAAGACCATTGGAAAACAAAAAGATATTTACGATTCATAACAGTAGCAAAATTACAGTTATAGAGTAGCAACGAAAATAATTTTATGGTTGGGGGTCACCACAACATGAGGAACTGTATTAAGGGGTTGCGGCATTAGGAAGGTTGAGAACCGCTGCTCTAGGAGATGAAGCTTATTAATTCCCTTCCCTTGAGTGTGGGCTCTTAATGACTGCTTTTTAACAGAGTATGGAAAGAAAACAATAGTAGCTTTATATGGGAGAAACCCAATGGATGCCACATTAACTACTGGGTTGTCGGGAAAGTCATGACACAGTTTTCTATGTTTCGTATTTTTTTAATGCAAAAATGCATCATGACTTTCCCGACGACCCAATGATCAAGGTGAACATCACCTGTAGCAAGTCGTGTTGATATCATGTACCCCGATATGTGATGCATAGGGTGCTTCACCTCTATCGTATCTTCCCCAAAATCCATAACCCCAATCTAATCATGAGAAAACATCAGACAAATGCAAATTCAGGAACATGCTATAAAATACCAAGCATTACTCTTCAAATGTGTCAAGGTCATGAAAAACAAGGCATGATTGAGAAACAGATTAAAGGAGGCTAACATGATATAATAACTACTGGTCAATACAACATGGTATCCTGGATTAGATCCTGGAACAGAAAAAGGACATTAGTAGAGAAATTGGAATAAAACTATCTAGTTTAATTAATAATGTACCAATGTTAATTTCTTAATTTTGATAAATGTACCATGGTATGTAAGATGTTAACACATTGTTTGTGGGAAACGAGTAAACTCGTCATAGCGCTTTTTATACCACTTTGTAAGCGGGCATTTTCCGGCCAAATCTCGTAGTAACAAAGAGGTCTCTATACCTGAGTTAAAGCGCTTATGACGAGTTTATTCGTTTCCCACAAACAATGTGATACCAAAGCGCGGGAGTTAACTCAGGTATACAGACCTCTTTGTTACGACGCGATTTGGCCGGAAAATGCCCACATACAATGTGTTAATATTTGGGGAAGCTGGGTGAAAGTATATAGGAATTCTCTGTACTACTTCTAGAATTCTTGTATAAATCTAAATTTATTTCAACAAGGTTAAAAAAACTATGAGAACATTAGTAAAATAGATTTAAACAACAATCTTTGAAAATCTAGCTCCTAATATTTTTAAACATGAGGTATTTTTGTTTTCTCAAGTTAAATCAACAAATCAAATCATATATCATGCTGGAATCTGTAAAATAAAAACTTAAACAAAAGCTGCTTTTGAGGCACAAGTATTTTTAGTATTAAATTCTTTTGAACTGCTTGAATTTATAATACCATGAAAAAATATTATACTTTAATTTAAAGAGGAGATAATTCAGTGAGAAAGCTATGACAAGCTTAAGGTAAGACTGACATAGATTAAAACTAGATAGAAAGAGGTAGACTCAGGGAAATTAACAGGCTTTTAATAGTTGGATGGTGGGGCATCCAAGATAATAACAAGTGAAAAATTATTTTTGCTATCAGTTCCTCCTGTAAGTCAACTCACGGTCTACTTTAGCAATACTGGAGATTCTCTATTTCCATGATTTATAATTTGAATGAACATCATGTTAATACCTATGCCATTTTTGCATGCAAGCACCAACATTTTCTACACCTTTAACAACATCACTATTGTGAAAGCATGAAACAATATTCTTTAAAAAAATTACTAAAACAGATTTCAGTTCAAAATTCTATTTAGGCAAACTGCTTTCCTTTTACCATGAAGTAGGGGATAAATCCACTTGTTTCTGACTCTAAAATGCCAGCGGGAATTCTAAAATCTCAAGAGATTGTTATGTGAAAAGATTATAGTACACTTTGTTTAGTATAACCCATTTTTGTTTTTAAAAAATTTTGCACATACATGAAAGATTTGGAAAAATGGACACTTTTAAAATTGTACGATTACAATTG